GCCAGGCGGTGGTCACATTAGGTCAGATTGTGTCAGGAATGACGCACTCGCGTGGGCGATGGCGGGGCCGGCGGAGCGGGCGCCGAGCCGCCGGGGCGGCACAGGCGCGCGTCCAGGGTTGGGAATGGGGTGCGATTTGGGGAGCGGGTTGGGGGCCGGGTGGGACGGGGGGGGGTGTCACCTGGGTGGCGTTAAGGGTCTCCACTGTCGCGAGCGCCTGCGCCTGCGCCACGGCGAGCAGACGGGCGATCACCTCCCTCATTGGCTCCACCTGTCGGCGGGGTACGTTTGCAATTGATATGGCAATTGTTGGCTTTTATTTTTGTGATTAGTATACTCTGGTCGTAAAAATGGCTCTGGTCATAGTGGCTGGCTCTGGTTATAGTGAAAGCTCTGGTCATAATGTCGGCCCAGTGGGAGGTGCGGCGTGAGGTGCGACGGGAAGCGCTTGGGTGGGCGGGCGCAGGCAGCAGCGGCCGCACGCGGAGCTCGCTGCTTGCGCTGGCTGCAGCGGCCCGTGCGGCCACGGGTGCCGGGCGCGCGCTGTGGCGTGAGCGCAGACCACATAACGGCGGGGCCCCTCCCACCTTGGCAGACGTGGTGGCGAGGGCGGTTGCGTTCAAATCTTTGGCAGCTGACCCGCACGTTGCGCCGCATTTGAACGCGCACGGCGGTCCCAGCGGGCAGGACTGCGCCCTTGCTAGCTGTAGGCTGCCCGCCGCAGCAATTAGGGCCAGCAGCGCAAGGCGCGCCCCCATCGCGCCACCTGCTGCTGAAAACGCGCGTGCTGCGCCGTGGCCAGGTTAGGCACCGCAAAAGCAAGCCTGCTTGAGGCCTGATACAAGATGGCTGCTTTTTACAGGCACGCTAGGCTTGAGGGCCGAGACCGGATGCCGCGGCAGCCGACGGTTGCTCAGACAATGCAACCGGGGTGCACGGGCTGCGATTATGTGGAAAACCTGCTATCGCCTCTACCGCGAGAGATACGGGCTAATAGAGGCTGCAGTATGCAAGTCACAAGCAGACGGCTTCAGCAATGGCGGCCCATCCGGCGCATCTGGTGCTCAGCGGCTCGGGGCAGCAGCTGCCAGCCCACCGCCTGTTTGAGCAACCCCGGGCCACGTGCGCCTGACCCTTTGACCACGCGGCTTCCTTTCCTGGTCACATCTTGAGCTGCAAGGGGATTGCATTGGCCGCAACCGTCCGCCATACATTCACAATCCAGCGTGCTGAAGCTGCAGCATGCCCAAGGGTTGGGCACAGACAAGCCAGACTGGCGCGTGCGATGTTCACCCCAGGCCCCCACACGCATGTTTGGACCCAATCCCAAACGGTTGGCCCTGCTTCAGCATTACAGCTGCATGCAGTCACCAGAGGCAGCGACAGACCACCTGCGCAGCAGGCGCGGGCATGTGCGTGCCAGCAATCCCGCCGAAAGCGAGGCGGACGCACCCAACTCGAATGATGAGCCCAGGGCACATGGCGCAGGGCAGTCCCTGGTATTGCCTGGTATGGTGTGGCTCAGGGCAGCACCCAAACAGGCACAGCAAGAGGCCGGCAAATCAACATCCGCCAAAGCTCAATGTCGGCGCACAAGCGGCCGGGGCGAACAAGCAAACACAACCACAAAGGAAAACGACGACTCAACAACAGAGCAGCTCGTGACGTAGAAAGCGCCTCATTCCGCAGGACTCGCGGATGCGATGCGGCACCCCAGCCCGCTGCGCCCGCCTAGCTCATCCCTAGCCGCAGCGTCACCGCCCGCCGGTGCGCGTCGAGCCCCTCCACCTCCGCCATCTTCGCCACGCTCGGCCCCAGCGCCTGCAGCCCCTCGAAGCTCAGGCTCTGCACTGTCATCTTTTTAGTAAAGCTCTCCAGGCTGACACCGCTGTACATCCGCGCGTAGCCGTACGTCGGCAGTACGTGGTTGGTGCCCGACGCGTAGTCGCCGACCGACTCGGGCGTCCAGCGGCCCATGAAGATGGACCCCGCGTTGTCGAGGGCGGGCAGCCACGACTCTGCGTCCTCGACGTTCACTATGAGGTGCTCGGGGGCGTACGCATTGCTGATGCGGCAGGCCTCCTCCTTGCCGCTGACCTGGGGGCGGTGGGACGGGGAGCGAGTGGGTAGGTGTGCGTGTGTATATGTGTGTGTGTTCGAGAGCAGAAGAGGGAAAAAGTGTGCGTGCGTGAGGAAGTGAGTGAATGAGTGAGTGTGTGTGTGTGTGTGTGGTGGGGGGGGATCTGCCGCCATCCCACCAAGCCGGCGATCAACCTCTCGTGGCCCCACACACCCCTTGGCCCGCAGCCCCACAAGCCGCCACGGCAACCCCCACACGCTTGACACCCGCCCGCCTGCCCGCGCCCCCTTCCCCTGACACCAGCCCACGCACCGTCACTACGCAGCTGTGCGCGAGCGCCTTGCGCGCGGTGTCGCTGCGGGGCAGCGCGTCGCACTGCCGCGACACCTCCATCTGCACCGCATCCAGGTCCACCCCCGGCAGCGCCAGCAGCACCACCTGGCTGTCCGGCCCGTGCTCCGCCTGCGGGCAAAAATGGGAGGGATTCGGCGGGAGTCGAACGCATGCTTCAGCGGGTCGGGCGACTGGGGTGTAATGAGATGAAAAATGGGAGTCAACCTCGGGGCAGCCTAGCTTGGCGCGCCACGTTGCGGCCCTTGACAGCCTGCAATGTAGCGCAGCAACCAAGCTACGATCCGTCCCGCTCAAACGACAGCCCTCCTCAGCGCCCCTCCCCGCCTCGCGGCCGTACGCCCCATTGTGATTCCGAGTGTCGCGTGCATTGCGCTGCCTCGCTCCCCACTGCTCCGGGCGTGCGCGGCCCCAGGCGCTGCGTCCGCTCCCAAAGACAGCCTGGCGCGCCCCGCTGCCAAAAACACGCCTGGGACCGCGGGCTTGCCTTGCTCTCACTTGATCAGACACACGCACACACATCACGCACGGCCTGGGGCGCCACTATCTCAAAGAAATATCCACTGCTAACCTGACCCGCCCTTCACACCCCAGCTCCTCCCGGCCCCTGCC